CTGCTGAGTCACCAGAGGGTTTATTTCCCCCAGTTGTATGCTCACGTAGTGTGAGCGTTTAAGCGTCAGCTTTATCATCTGCAGTTTGTTCTCACTGAACAGGTTTTTTGTTTGTTTTTTTTTTTTCTCCTTTACTGAAACTTAATTTTTCATTTATTAAAGGAACTGTGTGGTTTCTTGTTGCACAAGCTTTTCCTGTGTTTGGAATTTGAAATTACAATTTTAGAGACATTGCTTGACTCCTTGCTTGTGAGGATGGCGGTGTAGAGGTTTTTTTAAAAAATTTTTACTTATTTGTTTATTTTTTGGTCATTTTAGAGCTTTCAAAAAGCACACTCTCTTTTAGATATATTGAGATAGATGTTCAGAATAATTTCTAAATATTACAACTTTGACACTTCCACTGAAAAGAAATCTTTAGTCCTAAATTCTAGGCACACAAAAAGACTTGGATTTTCAGTGTATTATTGTTCTTAAGATTAGATTTCCTCTGTAGGGCGTGACGGAAAGGGCATGGTGAGTGATCATTTTCATTTTAGAGCAGGGATAATTTTTAGAAAATGAGGAGAGGAGTAATTAGTGCAAACCAGAAATAACAACTGGTGAAAATGAATCTAATCGAAAGCTTGGTGTTTACTATTCAGTGTGCGTGTGCTCGTAACGGACCTGATCCGTGGCAGTGTCTCAGCAGAGCACGTCGGCTGTAGGACACGTGCTCGGGGTTTCTGCTGGATCTCAGGTTTGAGCAGTTGTAGCCAGCATGGCTGGGCCAGGCAGTTTGTGGGAGCTGGTGTCTCCTTCCTACCCGGCCACTTGATAGGAAGATGGAAACCTTATCGTCGGCCTGGGTGGGTGCAGCAACTAAAGACCGAGTCAAGTTTTGTCCTCCTAGTGCAATCATTTCATAGACCTACAGGTTGTTCTGCCAGTGTTTCCAAGAGCATTGTCTGGTTTAGTGTCTGTGCGCCCCTAAGGAATTTTAACTCTTCAGAACGATAAAATGTGCCCAGAACTGCTGAGCGTTTTGCTAGAGTCATGTCATTGTGTACCAAGGTACTTTATAAGCCTTTAGACATCCTGCACTCTTTGTGAACTACATCCTTCTGTTATCCAAAATAACAATCTAACTATAGTTTCAATATCCAATATCCTTCTCTGACAGATGTTTTCTGGCAAATGTCTTCCTGCATTAGTGAATTCTCCCTCAAGAAGCAACAGGACACCTGCAGGAAGTGAATCAAGACTCTGGAGCAGAAGAAAAAATAATCACCTGCTTTAAAAGAAATAAATAAAAGTACTGTGGGGGAAAAAAAAAAAAGAGAAGCATTTCTTTCTATTTGTTTCTAGGTGTAAAATTTTAATAATCAATGCAGAATCCTGTAATCATTGAATCATTAGTGGCTAATGTTTGAAAAAGCTATTGCAGTCGAGTCTGTGACGTGCTAATAAAGCCTTATATAGATCGTTTCTGTCGTGATTTCGGTAGCATGAGCCCTGTCCCCGGAGCCAGCAGGGGCCAGACTTGCTTTATTTCCTCCTCCGCCCTGGCAGCGGGTTTGGGCCCTGCTCTGTCCTGTACAGCCTGCGTAACGCTGACGGCCAAAGGGATGATCTCAGAAGTGGAAGTGATGGCGTCGCTGCGCTCACACGCCTTTCTGCCCCTTAAATCCCATCGCACCCGCGCTGTCTGCGGCTGCAAGGCAAAATGGGTCCGTGCGGTACAGATTCTTGAGGTGTAATCGGGGGAGAGTAGTATTTTGAAGGTGGCACAAGTATTAGTTTTTTAATAGTCTATATTCTCAATGTTGTAGTATACTTTACTTTCATACTACCTACTTTTTGAACTATGTAGGGATTTTCACGGTACACATCGGTAGTGTAAAAATGAAAGATCACGTTGCAACTTTGTATAAAAATTACCATGCAAAACAAAGGCTTTTTTTTTTTCCCCCCTTTGGCTTGGGACTTTTGAGACAATTCCTAACATACCTGTAATTCTTGCTTTTATAATTTGTGTTAGCAGAGACTATGATGCATCATCAGTGTAGATTTAATGTGCACTTTTGTGCTTTCTGCCAAGTGGTAATTCACTTTGGAGTTTTACTATGTTAAAACTGTAAATACAGCAGAACGTTAATAAATGTCACTTATGTAGCAATTTTTGCTGTAGAATAGTGTTTAATTTGGTTTCAATGCTTTATTGCACTTGGTTGTTGATTACAAATGGAGATGACCTGTGGGAATTTCATTACTTTTTCCATGGAAGGTGTAACAAAACTCTCCACGGTGTCTGCCTTTTTGTAACCAGGTTTTCAAACCTGGAGACAGTCCTTCAGGTCAGGAAACGGCGATTCCATACATTGGGGGGGGTGTGTGTGTGTGTGTGTTGGATTTTTTTGGTAGTTTCACATACATAACTTACCTGCCTCGTGAAACGGTTGGTTTGTGGTTTTGGTTCATGGCTGAATTTCTCAAATGTATGGTCCTCACAAACAAGCAGTTGAGACTGACAAAGATAGATGGAGGTCACGCAGAGACTTCCCTTTTAAACAAGAATAAGTGTACACAGAGAGAATTATTAAGTTCATCCTGCAAGGCAAAATCTGTAGCATTGGGGAACTCTGAATCACGTTTGCCCAAACTTGGTCGATCAGCCTTGTGTTTACTCTCTTGGCATCTGGGCCTTATTTGGTCTTGTATCTTCAGAGAACTCG